TTTGGTCCTCACAAATCAGGAGGGGTGGGGAGTGCTACAGGCATCTAGGGGATAGAGGCCAGGGATGCTAGCAAACACCCTGCCATGTACAGGACAGTCCCCAGCAACAAAGAATCATCTGGTTCCACATGTCACCAGTGCTGAGGGTAAGAAACCCTGCCTCAAATCAGGAACAAGTCTGGTCCATTTAAAGAGCAGAAGGTGGGGGGGTCACCTGGGTGGCTCAGTGGGTTAAAGCCTCTGCCTTTCGGCTCAGGTCATGATCTCAGGGTCCTGGGATCAAGCCCAGCATCGGGCTCTCTGCTCTGCAGGGAGTCTGCTTCCCCCTCTCTCTGCTTGCCTCTCTGCCTACTTGTGATCTCTGTCTGTCAAATAAATAAATAAAATCTTTAAAAAAAAATAAAGAGCAGAAGGTGGGGGACAGCCTGGGTGGCTATCAGTTAAGCATCTAACTCTTGATCTTAGGTTTTGATCTCAGGGTCATGAGTTCAAGCCCTGTGCTGGGTTCCATGCTGGGTGTGGAGCCTACTTTAAAAAAAAAAAAAAAAAAAAGGAAAAAAAAAGAGCAGAAAGCTCAGTGTCTGGGGGTGGGTGGTAGGACCTGAGTCAGAGAGGCAGCCTGGGAGGGACAGATGACAGAGGCCTTCCAGGGCCTGGTAAGGGGTTTATATTTTCCTTCGTGATGCAATGGGAAGCCGTTAGAGAGATTAAGCAGGGAAGTGGCTTGATCCAATTTCCATTCTAAAAGGATGCTATGGCTGCTGTCCAGAGACAGGATTGCAATGGGCAGGAGTGAGAACAGAGGGGCCATCATAGTCATCCAGGTGAGGAGGAGAACAGGGGACAGGTGGACAATTAGATAGCGCTGGTGGGATTTTTCTGATGCATTGAGTTTGAAGGTGAAGAGAAAGTGAGGATACAAAAGTCACTTCTAAGATTTTGGTTTGAGCAATAGGCTGGGTGGAGGTACAGTTCATTGTGGTATAAAGGCAGGGCAAAGCTTAAGATCTAAAGAGTTTGAAATACTAAGGAGCCTGTTAGGTGATGGATAAGGGCTTAGCATCTGGCATGTTTATCACCCAGCTGTTTTAAATAATTGCAAACACCGTAATTATCCAATTAAATAAAATTAAATAAGTTATGGAACCAGTATGGAATAATATTACAGAATAAATCTGTGAACATGGAAATACGATCACAATGCAATAAGTGAAAAAAGGATGTCAAAATATGCAGAGGATGATACTGTTGGATTCTAATTGCACTGTTTATACCCAAACATATACTCTATGAAGTAACAAGTGTAGAAGCAAAATTCTAGAAATACTAGAAGAAAAAATGGGTGACTATTCTTAGAAGAGTAGAGTAGTGAGACCCTGTGCAACATGATATTAAAACCAGAAACCATGAGGAAAAGGTGGGTATACTCGATTGTAGAAAAAGTTACATTTCTCGTAGGGGGGAATCCCTCAGACAATGGCCAAGAGAAGAACTGGGAAAAATTGTTGGCAATCAGCGCGATAGAGTTAATATCTCTATTAGCCGAAGAAATTTTATAAATTGCTAGAAAAGACAAATAACCCAGCAGAAAGATGGAAAAAGACCAGAATCAGCAATTCCTGGGAGAAATAAGATAGCCAATCAAGGATGAGAAGTACAGTCTCCTTGACTATGAAAAAAAATGCTAATGGAAACAATGTGTTCATTTATACCTATCACCTTGGCAAAAAGAAAGATCAATAATACTCATTTTTTTAAAGATTTTATTTATTTATTTATTTGTCAGAGAGAGAGAGAGAGAGAGAGAGAGCGAGCGGGAGAACACAAGCAGGCAGAGTGGCAGGCAGAGGCAGAGAGAGAGAAGCAGGCTCCCCACTGAGCAAGGAGCCCGATGTGGGACTCGATCCCAGGACCCTGGGATCATGACCTGAGCCGAAGGCAGTGGCTTAACCCACTGAGCCACCCAGGTGTCCCAATAATACTCATTTTTGAAGAGCTCAAGGGAGAGTAAAGTGGTGCAGTCTTTCTAGAGTATGAGTGCATTCTCATTTTCAAATCTGCATCAAATCTACATTTCAAATTGAAATTTGAATGTGCTTTTTATTTGGATGTGCTTTTTTTTTTGACCAAGCAAGTTCACCTTGACTACTGAGCCTACCTAGAGGATTAGACAACTGTTTGGAGATAAAGGTACTTGGTGGGCAGAGCTGCACTATCTGTGATAATAAATTCTCTGAAATAAACGTTACTCCACAAGGATGTGCTTAAATAAATCATGGGCCATAACATGCAGCAGAACAATACGCAATTGGTAAAAGGCATGAGGTCAGTCTGGATGTCTAGATTTGAAAAAAATGTTCATGGCAGGTTAAGTAAAAGAAGCAAGTTGTAGGATCTGCATGCAAGTCTGCATGATCTCTTATTTTGTAAAAATAACAAAATAAAATGGGTTATGGTGGGGTGCCTGGGTGGCTCAGTCAGTTGAGTGTCCAACTCTTGATTTCAGCTCAGGTCATGATCTCAGGGTTGTGAGATCGAGCCCTACAGCAGGTTCCAGTCTCAGCACGGAGTCTGCTTGAGATTCTCTCCCTCTCTCCCTCTTCTTTTGCCTGCCCCCCACTCACTCATATGTGTGTACCCACTCTCTCTCTCTTTCTAAAAAGAAGGGAGGTTTACAGAGGTATATTTGTTTAGGAATAGGTTTGAAAGTCTTACACAACATTCTTCAATGTTGTCTTTTCCACAGAGTGGGATTTTTATTTTTTATTATTTATTTATTTATTTTATTTTTAAAAATTTTTTAAAGATTTTATTTATTCATTTGACAGAGATCACAGGTAGGCAGAGAGAGAGGAAGGGAAGCAGGCTCCCCGCTGAGCAGAGAGCCCGACATGGGGCTCGATCCCAGGACCCTGAGATCATGACCTGAGCCGAAGGCAGAAGCTTAACCCACTGAGCCACCCAGATGCCCCTAGATGTGATTTTTAAATCTTTAGCGTTTATTTTTAACATAGTGGAATGTGTCTAAACAACAAAGTGGTATGTGTATATAAATACTTGAATAAATACTAGTATAAATTATATATTGGCAGAAGTGGACCTCACATGATTATATGTGTGAAAGATATTTCCTATGTCAGAACCATCTGCCTGTGAAACACCTGGCTGTCTCAGTCAGTAGAGCATGCAGCTCTTGATCTTGGGGTCATGACTTTGAGCTCCACATTGGGGGACAGAGTGTACTTAAAAAACAAAATAAAAGTACAGCTTTAAAAAAAATCATCCGCTCAGACTTTCCACCATTGTCTTTTCCTATCTTAATATCACATTACATATAATTGAAAAATAAGGGACACCTGGGTGGCTCAGTGGGTTAAGCTTCTGCCTTCGGCTCAGGTCATGATCTCAGGGTTCTGGGATCGAGCCCTGCATCAGGCTCTCTGCTCTGCAGGGAGCCTGCTTCCCCCTCTCTCTCTGCCTGCCTCTCTGCCTGCTTGTGATCTCTCTCTGTCAAATAAATAAATAAAATCTTAAAAAAAAGAAAAAAAGGAGAAATAAGTGAAATGATGTCTTACTATTGGATAAAGCATTAAAAGCACATCCATTACCTCCCACTGTTTTCTGATGTAAATGGAAGTGCCAACTTGTCCCAGAGTCCTTGCTTTAATAAAAGCCAACGTCTTCATAAATCTTTGGAAAACACAGAAGCAGCAGAAAGAATAGGACAGTTTTGATTTACATAAGATACACAGAGAAGAACAAGAGACTGAGTGAAGGAAACGCAGCTGTAGACTCTCCTATTTTACAAGCTCACTATGTAAAAAGATATTTCGGGGTAAGGAATGTACCTGTGTAAATTATTTGCATCTCCCATAATCCTGTTTTTGCTTGTGTGTAAGACTTCCATTTGAACCTGCTAAATACTTAAAAAATACATCTCAAATTTGTGCATGTACATACACATGTTTTAAGTAGCATGTATGTCTATGTATGCATTCAAGCTCATTTAAATCATCATGGCTATCATAAAACACTTGAAACAACTCAGTTTGTGTGTGTGTGTGTGTGTGTGTGTGTGTATCTACACAATGTCTGTATGCACAGAATAGTCTAGGATCTGCATCAACCCATTAACAGTGGTTGACTTGGGATGGATGGGGTTATGGATTTTATTTACTTAAAACATTTTTTTTTATTTTTTAAGATTTTATTTGAGAAAGAGAGCACGAGTGAGCACAAGCATGGGGAAAGGCAAGCAGAGCCAGAGAGAGAAGCAGGCTCCCTGCTGAGCAGAGCCCGATGTGGGACTTGATTCCAGGACCCTGGGATCATGACCCGAGCCAAAGGCAGACGCTTAACTGACTGAGCCACCCAGGTGCCCCGATTTTATTTTTAATGATCATTTTAGGTACTTAAAGTTTCTGATTTTTCTGCAATATTTCATATTTGCTTTTACAGTAAGAAAAAATTTATTTTGAGAAAATAAGAAAAAAATAAAAAGATATGAATGGTGACCTTATCCAAGAGATGTCTCCGAGGAGTAATAAAAAGGCAGAAGCAGATTGGCTGTGGATGTGATGCGTGAGGTGGGGGGAGAGCAACTTTCCTTGAATAACCTCAGGGGTGGGGGAGGGAAAGGATGGGCAAGGCTAAAAGTTGTTGTAGAGTCAAGGGGAGGTTTGTGCTTTCTCTTCTAAGGAGTCTATCTGTCTGTATGTGTGGAATATCAGCCTGCGGGCTGAGTTTTCCCGAAGCAGTCTTATTTTTGTCTTCCACTGTCCTCTTTTTTTTTTAAAAGTAGGCTCCGTGCTCACTGTGGAGCCCAACGTGGGGCTCGAACTCAGGACCCTGAGATCAAGAGTCAGCCGCTTAACCAACTGAACCACTCACGTGCCCCTTCCCCTGCCCCTTTAAATCTGTTTCAGGCACTGGTCATTTCTCTGGTTCCTCTTATGTAAAAGAAGGTTCTGAGTCATGTTAGTTCATTTAGAACGTCTGCTCCAAGCTGATAACCAACTGCTAACGAGGGCGTCAGGGCCAGAGCCAGGAGGACAAGAGGTGAGACGGCTTTGCCCTGTCTGTCTCTTCTGAGTGCATCATGGACACTCACTGGGCATTTCCATGTTTTTTTTTTTTTTTTTTAAATCTCACCTGGTAGGACTTTCCAGTGGCAACACTTTTGCTGGTCTTGTCCACTTGGTTCACTCTCAAACCCCATCTACCCACCCCACTACTGCTCTGCCTCTTACTTCTAGGGCCCTCTTTTCCAGCCGGATTTGTCTGTTTGGTCTCCAGGAGCGAACTTCCTCCTTAGATCCGGGCTTCTGCCTGCTGACATGGTCCTGGTCTGACTCCCTCAGGCATGAGCTAGACCCCAGTCCCTCCAGCCCCCCAGCTCCAGAGAACACACATTAATTTCTCCAAGGGGTTCTATTAAAGCTCTCTCACTGGGCTTGAGGAGAAGGCAGACATCCCCTTCATCCTTCTCTCTTTGAGGAATGAGAACCATAGCTTTCTACCGGCCCTGCTCTAAAATCCTTGCAATTCTCCCTCCTCTGACTCTTTTTATCCTCCATGTGAGTGAGGGAATTTAAAAGTCAAAACACCGGTTCTTGGTTATCTTGCTTTGAGGTTTTGCGTTGGGTCTAGTGCAGACCTTGGAATATAATCTTTATTCTATCTCGGTGCTTCGGTCCTAACTTCCAATTTACTGTTTTGTTATGTACAAATGGTGATGGGCCAGGGCTTCAACAGAGGACTCAGGATCCTGAGATCAGGAGCCAAAGACAAGGAGAGCAGTTGATAGAGTTGGGGTCCAAAGCTTTCGTGGGGAAAGGGTCTGGGGGGGCGGAAAGGAGGAGACAGGAGGGACAGGAGAGGGCAGTTCTTAGATGGGAGGAGTCCGGCAAGGAATCAATGGGGCTTCCAGTCAATGATTTCTAGTTGCTCCATGAAATAGGAGGCCAGAGGTTTATTGAAGGACAGAGAAGAGGAAAAACCATGATTGAAGTGGTCTGAATCATTTGTGTGATTCCCTCAGGACTTCTGAGGGAATTTCCAGGCCAGCTTAAAGTTATAACCCCTCCTGCTGGCTCAGGAGGCTGCCAGGGCCAATGAGCTCCTCTTCCCTTCAGGTAAGTGGAGGTTAATATGCCCCGGGCTGGCACCGTTGGGAGAGGAGAGATGACAGAGTACATACACCAAAGAGAGTACAGATCACAGGACAAAAGGGCGCCAGAAAAGCCCAAAGATAGCCAGACTCCCTGGTTTACAGAGGAAACTTTTTATCTTTGCAAATAGACTCACAGTTCAGGATTGGATGTCCTGAGTCACAGAAGCCCCAGCTGTCCACTAACCAGCACCCCGCTGAATCCGACAGCTCGGAAGAGGACGAGGATATGAAAGACCAGCCATAATGTGGTCGGCAATTACCGACGGTTTTTGGGAACTGGTGGGAGGTAAGAATGAAGTTCTTTGGGCTCATTCAGACTCTGAATCCACAGTCTCAAAACCCCTGACAAAACTCGATTTTGTTTCAGAGCAATGCGTTGATGTCTGGGATCGACTGTGAAACGTTGTGATGTCTCACTTTTATCTCTGCGGACTGGTGAGGATGATGGTGACTTGGTTAAGTTGGTGTCCTGGACGACCCAACATGGATCTACGGCTCCTTCAACTGTAGGAGGTAAAATGGTAACAACTGAAACTATTATTTTGGTGGGAATTCAAGGCCTGGGAAGAGAGAAAAGAAATAGAAAAACGAAGCTTAAACAATTCTCTCAGGGATGTCTGGGTGGCTCGGTGGGCTAAGTGTCTGCCTTTGGCTCAGGTCATGATTGCAGGGTCCTGGGATCGAGTCCTGAATCGGGCTCTCTGCTTGGCAGGGAGCCTGCTTCTCCCTTTTTCCCCCTCTCTCGCTCTCAAATAAATAACATCTTTAAAAATATATATAGCCAAGTAAAGACCATTACAAAACAACACAACTGTGTTCCTGTTGAGGCAGTACATAGATGAAGTTTACTTTTACCAGAAAAGAATAGTAGTTAGTTTGTCCCTGTTTTTAAGCAGGTACTCCTGCTTGGCATTTCCTTTTTTTTTTTTCCCCTCAAGATTTTATTTACTTATTTGACAGAGAGAGAGAGAGAGCAAGTAGGCAGAATGACAGGCAGAGGGAGAGGGAGAAACAGACTCCCCACTGAGCAGGGAGCTTGATGCGGGACTCGATCCTAAGACCCTGGGATCATGACCTGAACTGAAGGCAGACACTTAATGACTGCACCCCCTGCTTGGCATTTCCAAAAAAACAAAAAACAAAAAACAAAAAAACAAACCAAAACAAAAAAACCCCTCAGGGACAAACTACTATGGTTACGTGACAAGCTGGTCTTATTAATAATGGTTCTTAAAATGGTGCTTCAACCGAGGACGGTGAGTCACTTGAAATTGTCCCCAGTGATTTTCGGGAGGCTATGTTGGACTAGCTGTGGGGCCACTGGGAAGCCATATGGAATGTGTGTGAAAACAAAAATTAACTTCTAGAGAGAAACTTTGCTGTTTCTTCCGACCTCCCTGGCTTAAACTTGCCACATTGGAGAAACAGGTGGGATGGGTCCAAGTCACTGAGTGTGTGTGTGTGTGTGTGTGTGTGTGTGTGTGTGATCTGCACACTCTCCTAACGGGATCAAAATCTTCAGTCCCAACAAAGCAAAATGTGTCCTCGTGATTGTTAAAAGCGTCTCCACCCACAAGGGCGACACCTTACAGACGGTGGAAATAAAGGAAGGACACAGATTTCCTCAGTAAGACTCAGAACTTCTGATTGCAATCCAGTGAAAATCTCCAAGGCTAATTATTGCCTGGGTTTTATTCAGCCGCGAAGCTTCTGACGTCTGCTGGCTGGAGTGCGAGGTGCTCCATTTTAATGTTGCAAAACCTCCTAAATACTCACAAAGGAAACTGTTTATCTCAATCTTCACTTAAAACACCTGCTTACTGATCCTTGATGATGTGTTTTGAGGCTTGTGATTGAGTGTCTAACACCTGGCTGATTAGGCTGATGTTTGATCATGTTTTGAAATGTAATTTTACTATTTAGCGCGCACATCCATGCTGCAAAGCATTAAGTGGATTGGTTGTCCCCAAGCTCTTATTGTTGTTTTGAAAAAATAACCATTACAGAATAATAGCTTGTTTTCACTGAAAGGGAAATGAACTTGGCAATTCCTACTCGATGATGCAGCACTGTTCCTGAAGACCGTGGGTTTCCAAGTGTGGTACAAGGAAAACCTCGCTTGGCCTCCTACCCTAGACCCTCCGACTCAGTCTCCGGGGGTGGGGACTTTGGGTTGACATTTTGAACGAAGAAATGCTACTTTGAGAGAAGGCAACTTTCCACTGGATCCTGAAGGACCATGGGTCACTTTTCTGGGTAGAAACTTCCGGTTCCTGTCTGTGAAGGCGGTCTGAACGGAGAGTCCTGAGGCTTCCGTTATTCTGTGGGAGAACGTGGAACATGAGGGAGCGCGCATATCATTGCCCTCTGGGCACTGAGACCCTGCACGTGGAGCTGAGAGGTCAGGCAGGTGTGTGGCCAAGGCCATGGTGGGGGCCCACTTTCCCCCTCGTTTTACGAATGAGACCATTAAGACCCTGGAAGGTGACTGAAGGTCACTAGGGGCACTTGGGTGGCTGAGTCGGTTAAGCATCTGTCTTCTGCTCAGGTCATGATCATCCTGGGATTGGGCTGTGATGAGCGTCCTGCCCAGCGGAGAGTCTGAGTCTCTCTCCCTTTGCCCCTCCCCCGATCGCTTGCAAAGAAAGAAAGAAAGAAAATCTTAAAAAAAAAAAAAAAAAGATTTGAAACTAGAACCCATGTTTTAGTCCCTACTTGTTCTTGTTCCCAGGTCACCAAAGTGCGAACTCTTGGAGAGGCCAGACCCCTCCAGGCCTCTTCCCGAGCCTGCCCCCTGCTCGGGGCCCAGGAGGCTGACCTGCTTGGACTACAGCCATCGGCTCCCTGCCCACTGGCTTCTGGCTGGACTTGGCCATCAGGAAGCACTGGTGGGAGACAGGGAGAAGAGGCCCATTGGGGTGGACACCGTGGACGGCTCACCTGAGGGACCACGTGGGTGCAGGACGGGAACAGCATGACCAACCATCCTAGTTCCCCCAGGGCTGCAGGTTTCCCAGGACAGGGGACTTCCTGTGCTAGGACCAGGAGGGGCCAGGCAGACTGTGGAATGTGACTTTACAAGGTGACTTAAACAAAACTCAAGGGAGCTCAGGACAGTGGTTAAGACCCATCGAAGAGTAGCTACTCTTGCTGTTTTAAAAATAGCCACACATTTTATTATTTATTTGGTTAGAAAAATGAGAGGGTGGAGGGTGGGTGAAACAGGCGAAGGGGATTAAGAGTACATTTACCACAGTGAACACTGAGTGATTACACAATTGTTGAATCACTATGTTGTACACTTGCAACTAATGCTGTGGTAATTATATTGGAAGTAAAATTAAAAAATAATTTTAAAAAAGGGATCATCCATGACATAAAATTAAAACATGCTGTAGGGTAAGTCTTTCACCACTCAGCCTCTGTCCATTCTCTTCTTCAGTGGCAAACTGTGCCCAGGTTCTTTGTGTATCCTTCCAAAGATGTTTTATGCTCCTTTAAATGTACAAATAATTATTTAAAACATCCAAATGGTAGCATCTGGTGCGCCTCCCTTTTTTTTTTAATTAACAGCATTATTTCTGATCATTCAACAGGTGATAAGTTGCCCTATCCTTTTTAGTGGTTGTATAGTATTCCTCTACCTGGATTTACTGTCATTTATACATTTAGCAGCCCACCTGTTAATAGACTTTGAGTTTGTTTCTAACCTGGTGTCATTATTCACTGAAACCGTGTTGCAGTGCATATCCCTGAGCGTCCGGCTCAACGACGCTCAAGGTTTGGTTAAGCAAATCCTAATCTTTGTGGGTAAAGCAGATCCTCTCCCATTTTACTTCCTAACTGGTCTCTTCCCCGAGATCTGGCAAAACTCTCCTCCAGCCAGAGCCATTTCCTGCCTCCCTTGCGGCTTTTGCTGGGTCAGCTCGTTAGCTTTAATTGTCTTCAAAATCATCTCCAGCTGTGTCATTCTTCTGGACCTGCAGAGTTACGGGAAATGCTGTCAAAACTGAGGGTGTGTCTGCACGGATAGAGCAAGGTCTGTGCAACCAGTAGCCAAAGTTGGCAACTGGAGAATAAATCTTTTTTTTTTTGTTTGTTTGAAAATAGGTCAGATCTGAAAAGGCATTGAGGAGCTGGAAGTTTCATGCCAGGGCAGCCAGAATCCAGACTCCGCCCTTTGAACATCCAGGATTTCTTACGAACGGACACAAAGAACATCTCTGGGCAGTCTGATTTCCTGATCACAGTATTTATTATTCTGCTTCCCTACCTCCCATCTCCTGATATTCTGCATATGTGGAGAAACAGGTGTAGACAGGGATCTCTCTGGGTCTGCTTCAGTGAGGGGCGTGTTGGAGTCGGCTTGTACCAGCGTTCGAAGGCTGATTGGGTTTTCAGGAATTTAGTGAGCTGGTTGTTAACTATAGCCATTATTGAGAATTATATGAATTTAAAAATCATATCTTTACTAAAAACAAAGGTAATAAATATTCAAAACACATTCCTGCCTAATTATGACAGTACATCTTATTCATGCCTTGGAGTTTTTTACATCCATTGTTACCTGTATCGTGGAAATACTCCAAAATGGTGAGCGACTGGCCATCTCTTCTCAACTCAGTGGTTCGTGATAGCCCATGGCTGCCTGACATTGACCGTGATGGCAGTATTTACACGAAGGATAAATCCGTGCTTGATTTATTGTATTCTAGACTGAAAGTAAAGGAGAAAATATTAATAATGCACGTTAGACTTTAAAGTCTGTCATGACCAGAGCTGAAGGAGAGTGAGGTCTTAATTCAATGAACATAATTTGTACAAAAGTGACTAAATGGGTGCATCTCATCCTATATATACATTTATTGGGAGGAGACTTAGCAGTCTGATGTGCGACTCTATTTGTCAGGTCGCTGTGGAATCATGGCCATAGTTTGACCGTGAGTACAAGGGCTCTGCAAAAATTCACTATGGAATCTGCAGTAAGGACTGTGGGGTATTTCATTACAATCTAGAAACTGTGTATTATAAATGCACGTTATATCAGCAAAGTCTACAGTATCCTTATACGTGCATTCACCCATTTGTCCATTTTTTTCCTTTTGGAGAGTTGGTTGTTAAGTATTTACCTGTACACACCATCTCCAGCTTTGGAATTCTTTTTTTTTTTTTTTTTTTTTTTTTTAATTTTTAAAGATTTATTTATTTATTTACTTGACAGAGAGAGAGAGAGAGAGAGAGAGAGAGATCACAAGTAGACAGAGAGGCAGACAGAGAAAGAGGGAAGCAGGCTCCCTGCTGAGCATAGAGCCCAATGCGGAGCTTGATCCCATGACCCTGAGATCATGACCTGAGCTGAAGTCAGAGGCTTTAACCCACTGAGCCACCCAGGCGCCCCTCCAGCTTTGGAATTCTGCGACTATGCTAGATTTTATGCTGTTATCACAAAAGGAATCATGCCGTTTTCCTTGGTCCACATTCTGTACAGAGGGACTAAGAGATGGTGAAGATGCCATTTGCCTCCTTTCTTGAGGACTAAAGGTGGGGCCTGGGGTGTCTGTACGGACCTGGAGTTCAGTGTGTCACTGATGACTAAGTCGAGGTGTAGACCTAGCACTGAGGAGGTGGAGCCAGGCCTTTTCTGCTGAACCTTCTTTCTGTGCAATGGCCAGAAGATTTTGGCATTTTTCTAGCTCAGGAATTGGCAACCCTCCTGATTTAGCAAGCCAAGTCCTCACTTATTCACTCTAAGGTAGCCGGTGCCAGGAATACATTCTAACTTCTAAAAGTTCTCTTAATCCAGGTTCTGGCCAAAGTCACTACAGAGAAGAATTCTGTTATTAAGATAAAACCCACTGAAACGGAAGATCAAAAATATGAAATTTCTTTAAACTTTTGACATGAACTAAATATTTGTGATTTTGCTCCTCATCTGAGGGAGGTTTTCATCTTGCCCTATGTGACTTGGGCAGCGGGGCACATTCCTTGCACCAGTGCCCTGGGTCATCATTTCAGGGTCCCTGAGAAGCTGTGGGCTGCCCGGGGTGTTCCCAGCATGTGTCAGGGGTTGGCAGGGGTTGGCCTGTGATACTTGTTTTACTCGGTGTTATCACCCAGAACTCATGAAGGTAAGCAAGAGACACTACTTCTGTTTACATAATGGTAAAGAGATTTATTGACCAGTGATTAGATAGGCCAAAGAACCTATAGGAAAGGTTCTAGAGCTAGGTTTGGAAAGCAGGCATAAACAAAAGATGGGGCATCAATGAGGACCACAACCCCAGTCACATTCCAAACTACAGCAGGGGAGAAGCTGCTATGACGAAGCCTCCACCCAAGATCCTGCTTTTGTCCTCCCTGAGCACTGGGCATGTCCGCTTACATCACCTCTGCTGCTGGCCCAGGGCACTGGACATTCCTGACCCTGGAAATGCCAAGCTGCTGTCATGGCCGCTGCTGCACTGCCGGAAGGATGCTCTGTCTCTGCGTGTTGTACCAGGGGGCCTGACTCAAAGTCCTGGCTTTCACCTTCACTGAGCTGCAAGGGAGCCTGGGAAGAAGAGTCTTTGGCTTTTTTCAGGATCTCTAGTGGGAAGAAGGCTCTGCTTTCTACAGAGAAGCACCAGGGGAATGTGCTAGAAACAAAGGGAGGATACTCAGTGCTGAGTAACCAAAAAACAAAAATGTCTATGACTCTTGGACACACGCTCTGCAGATGTATACGCTCTCACACATCACCTGGGTTGGGCCCAGGTATGTGGGAACTTTCTGGTCAGATTTGGCTCCATGGGACCACTACTCACTGTACCGCCTCGACTCTGACTGGGATATTCTCGGGCCCTCCTCTCTTCCGCAGGCTTCGGGAGGAGTCTGGAAGAGATGCTGGGTCAGTCTTGTTTCCATCGCATGCTCTCTTGGCTGTCCTCGGGACAGTATCCCAGGCTCCTCCAGGGTGCTCTGGGTTGTGATGCTTCTCCTGCCCCTCAGGTCTCCCCCTACACAGCCCATAGCTGGTCTGCAGTCCCATGAAACAAAGGGGTATAAGACACAAGGGGCTGGGGCCTTACTCATGTTTCCCAAGGTCTCCACAGCCCCAGCACGAGTCCTCTCAAAACCCTGGCCCATGTTGCCTGGTGTATCACAAGGGCTCAATTCCTTGTTTTGGATTTCTTTTTGAAAAGTGCTTAGTCATTGCTTTTGGTTAGATCACTATCAAAACAACATATTATATTTGTTTGGCACTAGAGTGTTTTCAAACATCTCCACAATGAGGAACCGATTTTATTGTGTTGGCCTCCCTCTGAAATAGCCTGGGCCATTTTTATCCCCACCGTGGAGTCAAGCCCCTGAGACCCAAAGGGCCTGAGGTCACACAGCTGCTAAGGGGCACGGTTGGCCTTGGCCGTAGCTCCCCTTACCTCTCTCTTGGTGTTCCATGGACTGTTGCTATGAAGAAGAATTCACCCAGGATCCAGCCTTGGGGTGGACAATTGTGCCTCCTGTGGAGTTTGCCGACCCATGTCTGAGCTCTGTCCAGACCACCAGACCAGGCTGTGTGAACAGGCTCCCTCTTAAGTGGGTGAGGTGCTTTCACCCAGAACGGTCTTTGCCTGCAGCTCTCGCTCCCTGCTGCTCAGGAATGTTCTCGTCCTTGCTAGCCCTGCATCTCTCAGAGGCAAGGCAAAAGCGGCTGATGAAGTGGTCACAGTCCCCTAAGAGGAGGCCAGGGGGTGGAATTCACAACAAGCCCAGATCTGAGGTTTGGAAGACAAATGACTTCTGTTTCAGACAAATGGGAGTGTCAAGTTATTCCAGCCCGATGAGATTACGGCTCAGAGGATCACGAGGAATCAATTCCTCCAGAAGAGGAAAAAAACAGCTGGCACAGGAGCTCTTCAGGGCCTTCTGCTAAAGGTAATGCAGGGTCACAGGCTGAAAGTTTCCAGGTGATGATAGGATTAGGGCAGGAGGGACCTGGCATGTGAATAAGCCCAAATTAGAGTCAGTGAGGAGCCCAGGGAGCATCAGGAAGGTTCGCAGACGAAAACATGACTTCGATGATCCAGAGGCACTGGTTTCTGGGTCCTTTCTCTTTCTCCAGACACAACAGAGAGAGACTGCAGACTAAATGGAAATGTAGAGGTCTTA